AGGAATTTGTTAGGTATCGTTTGTAACGAAAATGCATCATTTGGAATAGCATTTTTGAGAAAATATGGCATATATTCGCACGGCCATTTCACCGCCAAACGTCGCAACTGCGACATTAGAGAACACCATCCTGTAGTGACGTACGTTCATGCATATATGCCTACAGAACATATGTTTAGGAAAACTGTTATCAGCAATTTTGTATTGTTAGCATTACTTAATTATAAGGAGGATATGAGTTATTCACATTTGTTGGCTGGGGTAAAAAATCCTCTTCTTGACTTGGACAGAAAGAAGAAGTTTGTAGAGTATTTTGTTGAAGAGTGTTTGTCGAAACAGCAACCTGATAATTGGGCTAAGTACATTCAGTCTTTATTACAACCAGCACTCGACCAATTGAACAATTACATGCTTCCGGCTCAAAATCTCGCAGCTTCTTTGCACATCAAGGTCGAAGCACTTTTGGACTTGTGCCCATCGTTGAGCAAACTTCAATTTTTGTTGACTGGACGAGTGGCCGATTTAGATTACAGTGCATTGAAAGAGCAACTTTCCGACGGTACCCTATTCACATCGACCTGGAAACCTTACGAAGATCAAGAAGTGGTCTATATAAAATTCTGCGAGAGAGGGCGCAGAAGGATGTCTGCAGATGAAGTCACGAGAAAGTCATACATTCCAACTGTGAAAAAGTCGAAGGAATATTTAGGGATTTTGGTGAAACGGTTACAACGTGGAAATTCAGCGACGCGTTTCAGAAGCAATTATTTTATCTTTAATGGATTTCGGTATCACATTTTGCGGCATTAATACACAGAGAACGGTCAATTCGATGGAAACCTGCTTCACAGTAAGAATCTTGGCGCAACTATCTTGCGACTCCAACAACAGAACGTATTTTTTGGCACATCAAGTTGTTCCTTCGACCGCCATGTACCATAGCCTAACACGCGGAGGACATGTCTTTTTGCATCTGTTGCGAGCCATCTACGGGAATCATATCTTACGATGCTGCACGAGGATAAACGCCTTTGCTAGTTCCAGATACGAGATTTTTCCGCAGATTCTGATAGATATCAACGGAATGAATCATGTCTGGGTGAGACTCCATGGGGAACGTTTCAATCGAACAGAACACCTACGACAAATCAACGCAGCCCGTCGATTGGCTGGAGCCGCAAATGATTCATCTGATGAGATCGAATCAGCAGCAGAACATGATGCTAAACGTAGGAGAGTTCTACCGATTTCGAGCACTTCCCAAGAATCATCAGATATACATCATGAAACATCAGACATCGTTTCGCCGCCAGCAGATGCAGAAAGCAGGACTCAAAATTCGGAAATTGTCTCTTTGCCAGACATCATCGAGGTATCGGAAACTACTCACCAAGATTTCGAGATAACCACAGTTGAAAGAGACATCGCCTCGTCATAGACTGATGCGAGAACCCAATCAACACATCATCCTGAAACCCAACAATCATCATCACATCAAACTGTCACACAACAATCATCATCAGCGTCACATCATTCTGAAACTCAACAATCATCAGCACAACATCCTCAAACACAGATACAGGGTGGCAGTCAAATCTCTGACTTGATGTCTCTTTCACAAACTTCGACATGTAATTATTCAGAGTCAGACTCCTCTCAGATGAACTATGTGAATAGGGCATATTACGACGCTGAAAGATACAAGACCACAACTGCCACAACATCAGCCATCAGTCACGACTGTTCACCAGGACAAGGCATACCACCGCCACCTGCTCGTTCACTCCAAAAAAGAATTGACTTGAAGTCTCTTTCACAAACTTCGACATGTAATTATTCAGAGTCATCAGACTCCTCTCAGATGAACTATGTGAATAGGGCATATTACGACGCTGAAAGATACAAGACCACAACTGCCACAACATCAGCCATCAGTCACTGTTCACCAGGACAAGGCATACCACCGCCACCTGCTCGTTCACTCCAAAAAAGAATTCCATATTCTATGAAAGAGGATAGGTCACTCATCAATTGTATAGCCACTAATGAAATCTTATACAAGTGTATTGGAAATTCAGTAAAATTTTTACGGAATTTGGAAGTAATTTTCAACAACCAAAGTAATGGTGTCTTCAGGACTTCCAATTCGCTTAAATCTAGACTAAGAATATTGTTTAAAGATGGCGGCCACAATGTGATTCTTAATAACATGCAAGTGTCTAAGGAAATTGCGGGCTATTTCGTTAATTTAAGAAAACTTACATAATTTCATAATTGAATAACTTAATTATTGTCATTGATGTGAAGAATGTTTAATTTGCAGTTTCCGAACTTGCAGTTTCTAAAGTTTATTTTATAATTTATAATTTTTTTATTCACCCGGTTTCATAAATCATCGAGTTATATTGCATGTCATCAATTCAATTGTTGTATCTTATTTAACAATGTTATTATTTCATAAGTTCTCACCTCTCATCATCAATTGTCAATTCAATTATTCAAATATTTCGATGTTATCTGTTGTAGCCGTAGAAAAAATATAGTGTAGAACTCGCACGGATTGTTAATTTGTAAATAGGTTATTGGTTAGGTTAGGTTAGGTTAGCCGTAGGAAAAGTATAGTGTAGAACTCGCACGGAATGTTAATTTGTAAATAGGTTATTGGTTAAGTTAATTTAGAGGACAATATATTCATACAAGAATCATGAATAATACAGCTTTTCCGGATAGAGTTCCAGAGGTAGCAGAGTAGAAGCAAAAGGGGTGGTTTTAGTCGGAGTTGCGCCCGACACTACCTGTAGCTGATAGATCATAAGGCTCAGGTGCCAAGCGGTTTCCACCCCATTAAAAAAAAAAATAGGTTAGTCTAGTATAGTATATTCTGCATATATCAATCACCTTGTACAATATATTTTATAGGAAATCGAGTGAGATGATGATGTTGTCATGATGATTTAAGTATGTTGTTTTCAACGTATCAAATCCTCATTGGTGGATAGATTGACAGCCGTCGCGTGAATGTATGTTCACCCAATCACAACACGATTCTACAAAATTAGGTGGACATTGTGAATCTACCTTAGAATTGTTTATTTACATGTGTGTTATTGTAGTGTCAATGGAATAATAGAAATTAATAATAATTCATTTTGACTTGCTAATGAATCAGAAACTTAAGCAGGACATGAGGATATTTTGTTTTTGTGAACGATAAATCATCATTTAACTATGTGCAATGTGGAATTTCTCTTTGTAATTTTAGGTTAGGAACAGATCTCAGGATATCTTCTAAATGAACATCTTCAATTCATCTTATTTTTCCATAAGCTGATGAATCATTCTGCTCAGTCTTACTGAAGGAAATAGAATGAATCATTTATAAGAAATTCCTTGAAATTATTTCCTTCAGTATTCAAGGTAGGTTTGCACATATGAAATAAAAATAACCATCAATTCGAATGAAGATTTTAATCAAATTATGAGAAATACTCAATTAAGAAATGATCAATATTTTGACTACTTCCATCACTTTCATCGGCTTCTTCAGGATATTGATTTCCCAGTCCAGGGCTTCCAATTTGGCAGATTTTATCTAATTTCATTTGTGGCATTATACCAGCCAATTTCATGAATTCATCCATTGATGGTTTTGAATTATGTAGGGATCATTCTAATACCTACTCAGGTATCACATTTCTGATATTGTCCAAGGAAATCGGTTGCATCATGAAATGTGAGAAAAGTATAACAAAAAAATTGACCATATATGATTCATTGGGGTACTCACAAAAGGGTCTTGAGCCCTTGAAGTCAATAAAAACTGTCCTGATCAATACATTTAATCTTTATTTGTTCTCCTTATGCATATTCCATGTCATTTCCATAGCCAATTCTCATTTCAGATGTCCTTCAGAAAATCATCAGTAGAACCATGAAAAGTAAAATCAGAAAGTGTAACATGAACATTGCACAGAACTACATAAATGCTGGTACTCACAAAAGGGTATTGAGCCCTTATTGAAGTCAACTGTCCTATTCTGAGTCATATGGATATATGCAGTTCCACTCATCTAAAAAAATATGTGAACTATGAATACAGTTTGAATTGCTTAACTCAAATTTTGCAGCATGAACATAAAAAATTTGAATCCAAATTAGAATCCACAATGAACAAGTGATTATTTCGAACATACATCTAGGTACTTATATAGTGGATATATCAGTATCAGTAACTTATAAATCATGCTTACAAAAATTGCTACTAACAAAATACCTAATTTTAATTATGTTTCGAATTTTCCAATTTCCTGTTCTTCTTCTCTTGCCTCTTATACATTTCCTCTGTCTGGAATTTCCTACTGGCATATTTGACAACATAATAAGTTCTCATCCTTATAAATAGCCTCAACATATACTCATAAGGAAATTCCGGACAAGGATGTGCATATTGGACATTTTTCATCCTGATATATAATTCTTCTCCAACTCTTCCTGGGGCAATATATTGCATATTTTCCATTAAGATTGATTCCAAGCATGATACATAATTGACAAAAGAATCCCCTGGCATCAGTAATTTTCCAAAAACTCCTTTTCTCTGTCCATATTAAATTGATATTTGTTGTTCTGAATAGATTTTGTTTCATTAGGAGTTACTTCAGAATTGCTTAGCAGTAAGGCATCATTATCAGCTTCACAGTTGAATGTGTCAGTCCAATCCAGTTTATATATCCAGGCACGTCAGTTTTCAATATACCACATTTATTTTCTTGATTAATTTGATTTTTCTTGGTGTGATAGCTGAAAGTTGCTTTTCTGTCTGCACTTGAGAACCAGACTTTTGCACAAGTGTCTGTGTTCCTGTGTCAACCATATCTGGTTCTGTTTGGGTACCAATGCTTCTTGCTCTTGTGTTCATCCCATCTTCAGAGCTATCATCTATTTCCATAAAATGACCTACTTCTATATTTTCATCACTGAAATATGAATGCTCCTCATGTATGGAGCCTGATAAAGATACCTATAAGATCAAGTGTAAGTATGTAAAATACAATAAAATCAGGACCATTTTACCACCAAGTTCAGTGTAGGGACAGCATTTTCTTTCAGTTTGTGCTTTTCCATCAAATGATCCTCAAAATGTAGACTGCAAATTCTCATGCTTCGATACAATTTCATAGGATCAGTAGCCATGATCAATTCATCATTGCACGCCAGTAGCCATGAATTCATTCTCACTTCTTGGGTCCTAGGATTAGGGAACCTAAAAAATCTCAATGGTGTATGTTGATTATTATCTAAGTACTTACTCTTGCAGTCTTTGACTGCACATTTTACTCCTCCAGGTCTCCCTATTGCCAAGTTTATCTACAAAAATATATCATTTCTACCATAGACACTAGAAAAAATCAAATATACTTACACTTATACCACAATATTTTGAGGTTATGTATTATGATAACAAGAAACGACTTTTGTCATTGTTGAAAAATTTGTCAAATCTCTGAGAAGAAATTCAAGGTCATTCGTCAGTTTTCCCGCGCATTTGAAGTGGAGCTTCTTGATAGGTGACTAACCTAACCTACTATTCTTTGCTTTAGAGTGGGTAAAAAGAAAAAGCTTGGGTAAAAAGAGATGAGAAGGTAGGTGTTTCAACACTCAATTTTGAAAATTTTCCCTTTTTTGGTTATTTCCCAATATCATTTCATTTCCAGTATTGAGAAACTAACGGGACAGGAGGAAAATAGGGGCTTTGGGTGGGTAAAAGAGCAGAATAGGTGATTTTTTGACCTTTTTTCCTGCAAAAATAATGGTAGGTAGTATCGCCATCTAACAGAGAATGCCCAAAGTATTGGCTGACAGATGATCGCACTACTGCATCTAAGGAAGAAAACTGCCACCGTAGCGCCATCTATCGGAGAATACTCAAACTATCAAGGCCGTAGTTCACCTATCGGATAACAGAGTTATACTTGATAGAAAAATGAAAACTGCAATTTAGCACCATCTATCAGAGAACGATCAAACCAATTGAAAATTAGTTGAGCAATTGCTTGACAGAGAGCGCTAGTATTTTTTTTAATAATGCATAATCACACTTATATTTTACAAGAGAGAAAACCAGACGACTCCTCCAAAAAGCTAAAATATGATAGATACTCGCTTTAGGTAAAACCCCATTCTGCTAGATTGCCTCATTCAGTCAGTGAGAGGATTGGTATATTTCTAACACCATCAGGGTAGACTATATGATCATCTGCTGATACTGAACATCACAACAGAATGAACACAAAACAGGTACTCGCTCACAGATTCACACCATTTCTGCTTTTTATCGATACCTTAACTACTTCAATTTTAGTCTTGCTCAATCAGATTTTAAATCTACTTTAAATTTAAAACCAACCAATTTTAACTTTCACTTACCTTTATATATTTTTTTTTGCTGAATTCATAATTTATATTGAAGCTGTTCTATTTATTCTATATTGAAGCTGTTCTATTTATTGATTACAGTGTTATAAGTAGAAATGGACCAATATATAAGAGATTTCAAGCTTACAGAGTGCGAAACATTAGAAATAGTAGATGATGAAGGAATCGCAACCATTACGAAAGCATCAACAAAACAAAAATTTTCAATTTTCCAGGCAAATATAAGAAGTATCAACAAAAATTTCGATGAAATGTCAGTCCTATTGGAAAAATTCAAAAACTATCTAGACGTGATTATATTTACAGAAACATGGTATATTCAAAATATAAATATTTTTAAATTAGAAGGTTATGAAGCTATCTACAACTCAGGTGGATACAATCAAAATGATGGTGTCATTGTATACATAAAAAATGATCTATACTTTGAAAGCTCTATTAGAAATCTGGGTGATATGAAGATACTGCGTATTACCATCAAAGGGAATGACAAAAATATTATAGTTGACGCTTTTTATCATGATTCTCCTTTTAAAATACACTTCATTTCTGTCTTGGAAGTCAGAGAAATTTTGTTAAGTATAAAATCTAATGCTGTTGGCTTCGATGGAATAACTATTAATATGTTGAAATATTGTAGTCCAATAATTGATATCTATCTAACTCATATATTGAATTTTTGCATAGAAAAAAACTATTTTCCCAATTTATGGAAAGTAGCTGTAATCAAACCTCTCTGTAAAATCAAGAACCCTCAAGAATTTTCTGATCTGAGGCCAATTAGCATTTTACCTGCAATATCGAAGATTCTAGAAAAAGCCGTTCATCGGCAACTAACATTATATGTTAATGAAAACAACATTGTTCCAGATTGTCAAGCTGGATTCCGGGCAGGCTACAATACGACATCAGCTTTAGTACAGGTTACTGATGATATCGTTAGAAATACAGATAGTAAAGACATAACAGCTTTAATTACCCTCGATTTCTCGAAGGCCTTCGATACGATCAACCACACATTACTCTGTTACAAACTAAAATACTTGGGTTTCTCTGACGACACCATATTCTTCATCAACTCTTACCTCTCGAATCGCAGCCAGAAAGTCTCTATTAACAATGTTATGTCAACTTCTCAAATTGTAACTTCCGGCGTACCTCAGGGGTCTATTCTGGGGCCGCTCCTCTTCATCTTATATACGAGCGATATCCTAACCTCTATTAAATATTGCAAAATTCAAGCATACGCAGATGATACCCAGATTTACTCAAACCTCAATATGGAAAACTTTCAATCTGTTCAAAACCACATCAACAGTGACCTCAGAATAATAAACGACCTAGCTGATAAACATAACTTAAAACTCAATAAAAGCAAATGTCATTTCATATTATTTGGTAACAAAAATTTAAGAATGCGCCTCTCACAAGATATATCTATTGAAATAGACGACACCCCTCTATCTATTGTGGAATCCACGAAAAACCTGGGTATTATCTTTGACTCCGATCTAAAATTCACTTTACATATTAATAGTCTGCTCAAAAAATCATTCAGCTCTTTGAAAATGATCTATCCACATAGGCACTACCTCAATCAACCCATACGGAAATTGCTGAGTGAATCACTTGTCCTGTCTAGGTTCAATTACGGTGATATTGTTTACGGTGATTTACTCACTAAATTTGATCAGAATCGTATTCAGAAAGTACAGAACTTTTGTTGTCGATTCATCTTCTCCCTCAAAAAATACGATCATGTTTCCAATAAAATGAGGGAACTGAAGTGGCTTACAATGGCTAATCGTTCTAAATACAACTTTTGTGTCTTTCTATATAAAATAATAAAGAACATGATTCCTTTATCTCTCTATTGTAAATTAACTCCAAGGTCATCTTTACATTCATTAGAAGTGAGAAATAAACATCACTTTAATGTTCCTCGTCACTGTTCAGTCATGTTCCAGAAATCCTTCACCTATCAGGCTGTAAAATTTTACAATTCACTCCTCATCAATCACCTTCATTTATCTGAATTTAATATCAAGAAATTGCTGAAAGCAAAATTTTGTGAATCCCCAATATAAATTAAGACTTGAAACTCTATAACCTAGTTATACTTTGACAAATTACTTTTGTTTATTCGACTTACGATGATTATGTTCTTTATTACCTCATGAATGTCTGTATTAGCTAAATTTTCTGTCGATTGTACAATTTAGGTTAAGTGTAAGAGTAGCAATAGCTAAACTTCGCCTACTTTGTACCAAAGAAAAAATAAAGACGATTTATTATTATTATTATTATTATTATTTTATCGCTCACCGTCAAGTTGTCCACAAGAGTTTAATGAACATCTTTCAAATTATTTGGAAAGTCACTGTAAGGACAGAAAGCATACTTACTTCTTCGCTGGTGATATAAATATTGATATTAAGTCTGACGCGGATTTCTGTAATGATTATCTTAACATATTAGGAGAATTTGGATATGTTTCATTAATAAATAAGTATACAAGAATACAAAATTTATCAAAATCTTTATTAGATCATATTTTCATAAAAGATACAAAGCAGTTTGTGAATTGTAAATCCTTTGTTCTTCATTTTAACATAACAGACCATTTTCCAACTGTTGCAACATATTCAAGTGAAATCCCCAAAAGAAATGAACCGGAAACAAAAATTAAAATTTTAAATAAGAATAAATTTGTAGAACAAATGAAAAAAGAAAAATGGCAAGAATTATACAAAATGACCGATATAAATATTATCACAGATTACTTCATTACAAAAATAAAAGATGCAATAGACTCCTTTTCTATAGTAAAAAAAATCAAATGCTGTGAAAAAAAGAGAAATCCCTGGATCACCAAAGGGTTAAAGAAATCGGCGGAAATCAAACAAGATATGTACAAACAGCTTAGGAAAAACCCAAATGATGCAGAACTACTAAATAAATATAAAAAATACAAGAACGAGTTGACTGATCTTCTGAAAAAAACTAAACAAAACTACTATACAACAGATAGAAATAAATAAAAATAATTCAAAATCATTATGGGATAACATCAAAAAGCTTACGGGAAAGGACAATCATCAAAATAGCATAAGTAGCATTACATATAATAATAAAAATATTTCAGATAAAAAAGAAATCGCCAATATCTTCAACTCACACTATGCCAATATAGGTAAGGAAATGGCAGAAAAAATCATTAAACCAAGAAAGTCTGTTGTGAGCAGAAATATTATTGATGTGTCCATATTTATGAAACCCACTGACGAATCCGAAGTACTCGACATTATAAAACAACTTAAAAATCATAAGTCTCCAGGAATTGATGAAATAACTTCAGAAAACCTCAAACTTATCGGCGAATACATTAAAGAGCCGTTAACGTATTTAATCAATAAAATATTTGAGAGTGGTGAATATCCTCAGAACTTAAAGACAGCAATAATAAAACCATTATTTAAAAAAGGGAATCAGATGGACGTCTCTAATTACAGACCAATATCACTTATAAGTACAGTTGCTAAAGTTGTAGAAAAAGTTATCAAAAAACGACTCATGGACTTTTTAGAGCAGAACAACAT